AGTATGCGATCACCAGAAATGTGTCGACAACTACTGACTACGAGACCCAACAGCTGTTGGTTTGGATTATAAAACAATTCAAACCGAAGTGTATGTTAGAGTTGGGCTCATGGATGGGTTACAGCACCCTATTAATGGCCATCTCTGCCAAAACATATCAATTCACTCATCATAAGTAAGTCTTTCTGATAATAGAGTACTATTTAACATAAAATACTTAATTTACAAATATTTAATTTATTTCTTAAGATCCCGGATATATGCGTGCGATTCATATGTTTGGCAGAAATGGATGAGTAATTTCATGATTACCAAGAATTTGATGGCAAATGGAAATTTATTTTTAACCAGATTTCTATTCAATACGGAACCGATGAATGAATACATAGAACCAGTTGTTATGGACTTCGATACTATACTCCCGGACACTGTCTCTCATATTAAACCGGATTTTGTTTTCATTGATTTCACTCAAGACGCCGATGAGATCCAAGAGAAATGGAGTCATTTAGAGCCCAATTTGATTCCCGGAAAGACTATTGTCTTATTCAACGGTCTGTCCATTACATCCATACCTTTCTTTACCCGTAATTGTAATCGACTTAAAGCGTTGGCAAAACCACATTCAATAGCCAAAGCATTCATATACAGCCCCGACCTATCTATCAAAAGTCAACTGGCAAACTTTAATATGAGCCCAAAATTCAATTTCCAAACGCCTCCCGATTGGGAACATCACTACAAGAATGCATTCAATTCTTGTGTCGATATATTAAGACAAGAATTTCATGACAAGGAGTCAAACATTTTGTTTATACCTTCTGTTGAGACAATCCTTTGCGATAATCCAGAGGTTATGAGAAACAATGACTGGATTGGTATCATTCATATGACACCAGAATATCCGGAATTGTTTTATACACCAGACCTGAAACGGTTGTGCAGTAATCGATACAAACAATACATGAAGACATGTAAGGGATTATTTAAAACAATGACTGGATTGGTATCATTCATATGACACCAGAATATCCGGAATTGTTTTATACACCAGACCTGAAACGGTTGTGCAGTAATCGATACAAACAATACATGAAGACATGTAAGGGATTATTTACACTGACATCTCTTCAAAAGCAATATTTGGATACAAATCTTGAATTGGATTATAAAATACCGATTCAGACATTAGTTTATCCATACATTGAACCCGAAGTCTCTAAAGATTCAGAAGTAATAGATTTGTTGCAAAACAATGAAACGGTTGAACTAATACTGATCGGAGGGTTTGCCAGAGATTTGAATTGTTTTTATTCGGCAAATGTTTC